GGCTGAAGAGTATTACAGCAGCCAGTTCTGCTTTGACCTCCTCCCCTCCCCAATGAACAACAGGCGCAGGTTGGCTAACCGATTTTCTGTTCAAAATTGCTCGATGATGCGTGTGAACGACCGCAAGTGCCTCAGCTTGAAATTGTTCAGGTAACCATCCTAATCGAACACACCTCGCAACTAATCCAGGTATTTGGGAAGTGTGCCCTCTGTATACAGTCTGCGCGCTTTTTCCGTTAGACAATGAACGATGTTTCGTTTATGATTCCTTAGAATGAAGTCAGTGAACGGGACACATTGTTCGCTTCTGCTTATTTGTCTCTGCATGTCGGACCAGCTGTTTACCTGAGTATCTAGGCATACGGCAGATTTACTGCACTCCATTTCGATATTAAAAGTTAGGCGGATGCCGATAAATCTTCAATACGCGCTCTGTTACCAGCCATAATAGAGATGAGTAAATGTGAACCTTAATAAATCAGCTGGTTGATTGAGCATTTTTTAACCGGAGGTCTTAGTGTGGCACGACCAGATCTCTACAGGTGTAGCTAATTAAGACAGAACGTATTTGCAGTTTATTAACAAATGCTGTGCCTAGATTTACCGCTAATCTTGTTACTTATTGTAAGATACTAATTGCACAAATTTTGTAACTGCACTATATCAAAGCTGTCAAAAGTACCAGCAAATATGCATATGAAAATGTCCATGGATTCAAGGAGAGAAGCCGTAAATCCATCATTACATCTTCTTCTAAGCTGGAGCAAATAGGAGAAATGCAGTTTTAGGCTCGTAAGACTGGATGACAGATCCTCAGGCATCTTGGTTTGTATTTCATTACTAAACAACTATCACGAAGCTGTAGGTGCAAGCTGTCTCGACTAGTGCAGGAGCTTTTACCAATCTTTCGACTAGTTAGGCGTTTGCTGTCTTCAGTTTATAATGAGAACATTTACCCGTGAGACTGTCTATCATCTCCTTTCGCTGTTGAAATCGAATCGACGAAAACGCTTCAGTTTCTGGATAAAACGGTGGTATTATCGCTACGTTGGAATCAACATACTTCCGCTAATCGAAGCCCAAATACGATGAGGAATCCCATTTGGCCTGCTTGTGTCTCGTAAATACGAACATTTGTGCACTACCCAAGCTGCAAATAGAAAACGAAAGTAACCGGAAGCGCATTAACCTAAGGCCTACAGTAGTTATGATATGCATATAAATCACCAGTTGTACTGGTGTATTTCCCGACCGGTTAGGGACGAACACATACACAGAGAAGTGGTGATATCAATACACTTCCTGCCATCTTGTAGGGTTGATTTCAGCAAATAACTTGTTTACATTCATCACAGCCCGGAATGAAACTTCTCTCTGGATAATAAATCGCTACTGCCTAGTTGTTGTCGATTTGTTCAGCGGGAACAATGGAACAATGGTATATTACGGGTAAAAAGTGGATGCATACCAAATCCCGTAAGATGGTCATAATGAGAGCCGCAACATGGTGAATAGAAAAGGGTAATAAAATGTAAATCGTCTTGGTGGACTTACCAAGGTGTTAACACAAAGGCAAGCAAAAAGGGCCAACGTCATTTGTTTACGTGAATTTTAGTCGTATTATATCATCTGTCGAGACAAACAGGCTACATCTCGCAAAGTAGGTGGGTTAGGGCAACGTCAAGGAGCTTTTAAACAGAGGTAAACTTGGAGCGGGAACAAGGAAATTCGGGAGGTCGTTTTATTGCTGGCACACACGAAGAAAAGTTGCGTCGATATTCTAGCCTACTGTATTGCCTCGCTGACTTGAACTGGCGGCCCCTCAACTTTGTGTTGTGGATCAGTTGCAGTAAGTGACGGCAGACGTGGTTGCGGTTCCTTAGAATCTGATGGGTTCTAATAAGGTCGCCACGTGGGTGCAAGTACCGGCCGCCGTATATTATTAGCGTCCTCAGTAGAAGTTGATAAGAAAAATTGAACAAACCACTGACGTGCTTCCTGGCTCGTTGCTGTGGAGTCTCGAGCGCTGCAAGGTCTTGGTTGTGTTAGGGCTGCCACGCTTGGACTGCGTGTAGGTGATAAGCAGCTGCGAGCAGACCGAGGAACCAAACCGCACGAATGCACTCTGCTGCATGTCAACGTGTTGCTTTCCAGTATTTGTCGCCTTCTCAGCTTGCGCTGAGTAGCCCAGATCAGCCTGTACTTGTACACCAAGGTCGCACTCGTGAATGACTGCTTGCATGACATGGTCTCCAAGCTTGCATGTGATGTTCGGCTGGTGGAGAATGGGAACAACCTTACACTTCCCCGAATGGAACTGGAGCAGAATGTGGAGTGACCATACATTAGCCATGTCTAGGTGTCACTGAAGTACATCGTGATGTCATGGGTCAGCGAGCGCCCACCGCATCTTAACATCATCAAGGAACTGTAAGAAATCCGAGACAATCAAACGCGTCAGCTCGGTAATGACTAGGAGAAACAGACGCGGCCTCAGAACTAATCTTTGTGGCTCTCCACATTCGAAATAAATAAGATCGGACAGCGCACGTCGAACTCTGACCTACAGTTGACAATCCTGCTGGTAAATCCTGCTCCACCCAAGGACAGGATCACCATCTCCATATCTTTGGAGACTGTGAAACAGAAAGTGGTGATCCAGTCGGTCGAATACTTAGCAGAAGTCGAGGCAAATGAAGTCTGTCCCACTACCATTTTGGCCGCTTCTGCCCAACTAATGCTTGCAATCCGTAGGTTGGTTGTGCATGCAGGGTTTTGGCTCGGGTGCCACTATTTTGTGGCGTTCTAGATAATCTATTAGTGCCTTAGGGATGATTGCCTCCATCACCTTTGAGAGCACAGGGAGTATGATCAATGGAGAATAGCTTGCACCTCTTCTGACGGAGTGAGAACAGCGAGCGGTAGCTAGATAAGATGGGCAACCGGATTTAAGGCTAATCCCAGGAATTAAATGCAGCCTCGACAGAGGCAATTGTGATGACTGTAGCCTAGGGGAAACATAAGTGTGATAACAACCAGTGAAATAACAGTTGCGCAACTTAGCACTCAATATGGAAACGCTCGTCGCTTAGAACATTAGAACCAACGAATATATACCGTCTAGTACTGAATATAAGCTGATGCTTCTTAGACAGCATTTCGTTTCTGTAGAGGGGGTCAGTTTATAAAAACGCTAGAAGAAATTTCAAAGAAGTCACATGCGAAAGGAGCCCACGAATTCACTGCCCACCACTGGCTTTATCACTTAGCACTACCCTCCAGTGACGGACCGTATTGCAGACGGGATATGAAGTACCTTTAACTGGACACGTCACATATTTGTCAAAAGGCATCTGTATACTGCACATTTAACGATTGCGATGGATGTCAATAGTGAATCAAAAGTCAGGCGATCCGGTGCCTTAAAAGTATGTTGTCCCACACCTCTGACTGTGAATTTTGCACTCACCCACTGCTCTACTCTGGTTCATATGCATGAGGACCCTCATATTTTCCTCTAAATTGTCGGCTGTCATACCTGTTTCATGTGACTTGACAGCTGGTCACTACAATGTCCGGTGTGGTGAAATTTTCTTTCGACTGGCCTATGCCCAATTAACCACAATTATAATATTACGGTCACCACAGCTGACCAACAGTAGAGCAGGTTTTACTTGAGCTTATACATGTGAGACTAGATAATGATGAGGTCACAACGGTAGATAAGCCATTGCGTTTTCTTGTTGCTGATTTGTTTGGGGTAGTTTATTACAGGGACTTACAACAGGGACTTACTGTATGATTATCTATGGACAAGCTTATATTCGTTAATATACGATGCACCCTTTCGTTGTTACCCTCCAAAAAGCTGAAAAGAATGACAGCTAGTCTCGAGAACCAAGCCATCCATCAAATCAGACGTGAACTAGTGTTGCTGATATGCATATACCGTACGTTTGATAAGAGTCTTTCGATTGTGCTCAGTCTCCTCCCCGGTGTGGTGGCGCTTGATGTGCATGTTTGACAAGGTGCCTACCTGTCTACTACCCACTACCTCGTCCATACTGGCTCCAGGAGACGTTGGTCGTTGCTGGAGGGGACGGGGTGCACGGTCCTTGTGGCGTGCTAGGCTCGAGGAGTGGTTTCATGCACTCAGTGTGGAGCGGACTACGGTCCAGCCACGCCTTGTGTGCGCTTGGTTCTTCCCAACAGTGGGGGGCAGGGGGGCTTTGCGTGGTGGGTGGGGGAGGGTGGTGGATGTTGGGGGGGGGGCCGGGGTGGTGGGAAGGGGAGTGTGGGGGTGGGCGGGGGCGGGGCTGTGCCTGTTGGGGAGGTGAAAACGGGCCGACCTTCCACAGGAGGGGGGGGGGGGGGGTGGCGTGCGGGGGGGGGGTCTTAGTTCGTTTGGCGGTTTACACTGGGGGGATATGGGGGGGATGTGTGGGATGGGGAGGGCTGTGGGGTGTTGCAGCTGCAAGGGGTCAATAATGGGGGGGGTAAAGGGGGGGGGGTGGGAGGGTGGGAGGAAGTGGGAGTAATGGTAAGGGAAAATGGGTATGGATGTGAAAGTAACCGAGAGCCCGCCAACCTTAGGATCCATGCGGTAGTGGTCAAATTGCAGGACAAATGGTTGTTTGTGGAGGCGATTTGCGCTCAACAGACAATCTGCAACAATAGTTGCACTGGGTCACATAATCGCTCCAAGTATCGGGACTAGGACGAACTCTGTAAGTGTGCCAATCTGAGTTCCTCATTCAAATGCGCATGCGGGTTCTGCTTTTGACGAATGAGGATGGACTGGTGGAGCGAACGCTGTTCGTTTCCGAAGCAGGTGAGCGCGGAGGGTGAGAAGGGTTGGGGGGCAGGGGGAAGCTTCCAACGAGAAGGCTGAATTCCGAGGGCGCAGTTCTGGGTTGGGGAGGGGGGCCAACTTTTCGGGGCAGGGAGTGTTGGGGGGGGGGTTGCCAGAGTACAGGGGAGGGGTGATACACAGACTTAGGATGGGGGGGGGTGGGGGGGGGGGGGGGGGGGGGGGGGGGGGGGGGGGGGGGGGGGGGGGGGGGGGGGGGGGGGGGGGGGGGGGGGGGGGGGGGGGGGGGGGGGGGGGGGGGGGGGGGGGGGGGGGGGGGGGGGGGGGGGGGGGGGGGGGGGGGGGGGGGGGGGGGGGGGGGGGGGGGGGGGGGGGGGGGGGGGGGGGGGGGGGGGGGGGGGGGGGGGGGGGGGGGGGGGGGGGGGGGGGGGGGGGGGGGGGGGGGGGGGGGGGGGGGGGGGGGGTGGGGGGGGGGGGGGGGGGGGGGGGGGGGGGGGGGGGGGGGGGGGGGGGGGGGGGGGGTGGGGGGGGGGGGGGGGGGGGGGGGGTGGGGGGGGGGGGGGGGGGGGGGGGGGGGGGGGGGGGGGGGGGGGGGGGGGGGGGGGGGGGGGGGGGGTGGGGTGGGGGTGGGGGGTGTGGGGGGTGGAGGTGGGGGTTGTTGGTATGGTGGGTGGTGGGTGGGGTGGGTGGGTGGTGGGTGGGGTGGTTTTGTGTTGTGGTGGTGTAGGTTGTGTGGGGGGTGTATGGGGTTGTGGTGGGGTGGGTGGGGGGGGTGGTGTGGGGGGTGGGGTGGGTGGGGTGGGGTGGGGGGGGGTGTGGGGGGGTGGGGGTGGGGTGGGGGGGTGGGGGGGTGGGTGGGGGTGGGGGGTGGTGGGGGGGGGGGGTGGGGGTGGGGGGGTGGGGGGGTGGGGGGGGGGGGGGGGTGGGGGTGGTGGGGGTGGGGTGGGTGTGGTGGGGGGGGGGGGGTGTGGGGGGGGGTGGGGGTGGGGGGTGGTGTGGGGGGTGGGGGGGGGGTGGGGGGGGGGGGGGGGGGTGGGGTGGTGGGGGGGGTGGGGGGTGGTGGGTGGTGGGGGTGGTGGTGGGGGGGGTGGGGGGTGGGGGGTGGTGGGGGTGTGGGGGGGTGGGGGGGGGGGGGGGGGGGGGGGGGGGGGGGGGGGGGGGGGGGGGGGGGGGGGGGGGGGGGGGGGGGGGGGGGGGGGGGGGGGGGGGGGGGGGGGGGGGGGGGGGGGGGGGAGGGGGGGGGGGGGGGGTGGGGGGGGGGGGGGGGGGGGGGGGGGGGGGGGGGGGGGGGGGGGGGGGGGGGGGGGGGGGGGGGGGGGGGGGGGGGGGGGGGGGGGGGGGGGGGGGGGGGGGGGGGGGGGGGGGGGGGGGGGGGGGGGGGGGGGGGGGGGGGGGGGGGG